TATCCCCAGTCTGTTTTAGATCATTGTTCTTCCATAAAGTGTTTCCTGGCGCATGGAAGTGAAATGATCCAGCTTAGTTTATGAAACCAGGAAATTATTCCTCTGGAACAGAGAGAAAGACAGACAAACCAAGAAATAACAACAAACCAAAACAGTATATGTGAAAGGAAGACATACATTCTATATTGTTTCCATTAAAATGAAAACTCCATGGGGAAAGAAATCGCATCTGTGAAATGTGTGGTGAATTTCTTTCACATATGGACACTCAGTAAGCATTATTAATGAATGATAATGATTTGTCAAGTGATTGAAACGGTTTCAGGCAAAGAACAGGGAATGAAATATGGAGATATTCCTACATCTCAGGGGGGAATTGCTAGGCAGGTCATCCAGATGTATTTTCTCTGGGGAGCTGTGAATTCCTCGTGTGTCTAGCTATTACTGTGTAGACATTGTTTGCTTTCTTGGGAATAGGTACTTATCATTTTATGTGTGTGTGTGTATATATATATATGAACATACACATGAGTACATATATACATCAATACAATTAAAGCATGCTTCCTTGAGGTCACTTTGGGCTGGGCAGCACAAAGTATAGTCCTGAGATATTAAAAATAACCAAGAATAATTATCTTTAATAATATAGTCATAATAATTATATTAGAAACATTTTCAAAAGTGTGGGGTGTAAAGAATACATTAAATTTCATACAGAATGAAAAGGAAAAGATGCCTGCATCTTTCTACACATACTAACATAACAGTGCTGTCTTTGCATGTATATGTATGGGTGTTTATGGAGATTGTATGTAAGTCAAAAGAATGAGAACATAAATTCATCTGTCTCTTTGTCTTGCCTTATCTTTTTCTCCTTTGCAGGTTGAAGAAAGGGTAATGGTTTGTATAGATTATCTGTGAGGTGAGGGAACTACTGGTCCAGGGGTGGGAGGGGCAGATGGTTAAGGGAAGGTAGGCAATAAAGGGTGGGTTGCCAAGCTAGTTACCACTGGGGGCTATTAGGGTTGAATACCCTGGGGACCTCAGCCAGGGTGTAGATCACATGCTCCAAGGGCTGGAGTGCTTCTATGCCAGCTCCTGTCAGTCATTGGCTGAGGGCTGTCCCAGGGAGCATTAATTCTGGTGTTGAATTCCTTTCAGGATGAGCAAGGAGGGCTTGCAGAGAAATGCAGGATCTGCTGTTAGAACGTGAGCTCCTGTGCTCTGAAGCAATGGCAGTGAGGGGCTTTGGGATAACACCAGCTGTGTGCTCTACACTTGCAGAACGTACTTGCTGAATTGAGATTTACTTCACTCTTTATGATTCCCTATTGTTGTTTCCTGGATCTAATAGTGAGGCTTACATCTAGTATTTTACCTGGTTTTTCAAGAAGATGTGAGGCAAGGGATGGTCAGGGACTAATAAATGAAGAAAGCACGAGAGAACCCATTTTCTGCCATTTTTGCCTGTTTTCACCCGAGCATACACTAAATATTCAATAAATCTTTGATGATATGCATGGAGACCAAATGGTATTCTCCACTGTCTCTCTTGATGCTTATCCCGTTGGTGGTCTCCCAGGTGGTGGTGGTGGTACGTAATGAGGGAGGAGTGACGATGGTGGGGCAAAGTCCAGACTGCCAGTGCTGTTGCATAGCTCAGCCCCTCTTACCCTCTGGGTGAGAGATCGCTGCAACACAGTGGCAAAGTAAATATGCTGTTATTGTCAATAGTCCTTTCCATGTGTGGCATTTATCATTAATAATCAGTTGTATTTCCAGTCAAGATGGCAGCATAGGCAGATGTGTCTCGCCGCTTTGCACAACCACATCAAAATTACCAAAGTATAGAACAATCATCACTCAGAACCATCAGAAATTGAGTTGAATGGAAGTCAACTATGGAATTAAAGGAACCACATCCATCCAGATTGGTAGGAGGGGTGCAGATGCCAAACAGGCTGGTCCCACATCTATGTGTGATAGATACAAGTTTGGGAGGGATATCTCAGTAGTGAGGAGTCCCAGCCCCACACGAGGCCCCCCAGCCCAGGGTTCCAGTGCCAGGAAGATAAGTCCCCACAACTTCTGGCTACAAAAACCAGCAGGGATTGAGTCCATGGAAAAAACTGCTAGAGCCACAGCAGTTCCCTTTAAAAAACCCACACATGGACTCACCTACTCAGGCTCACCTCCTCAAGCTCCAGCACCAGGGCAGCAGCTTGAAAGGCACCAGTGATATACAGGGAGAAACGGAAGTGTTTGTTATCAAGGCAAGCAGAGGCCAGTGTCTCTTTTCTGAGCCCTTCCCCCCACAGAGCCACAGAACCACAGAGCTGGCAGGCTGGTGCCATATCTGAGATTCCATTAACCTGGCTAACACTGTTTGATCCCCATTGGAAGTCCCCAGAGACTCCACCCTATACAATTTGCAGGCTCACCCAAGCTGCTTTTCTATATGAATGGCTGGTCTTGGCTCATGCTTTACAACTTTCTAAATCCTCTCAAACAAGCAACAGCTGGCCTCAGTGAGCCTCAGGCCCAGCACTAGCACTACCCAGCTCAGATTCACAGCTTGGCCTCACCTGTGAATCTCCAACCCAGCACAAATAGCAGTCATCTTAGATTGCTTTAGAGCTCAGACAGGGTGGCCCCAGGCAAAACACAGGTGGGGGCTGACTTTGGCCTGCACTACCTGGGAAACCTCATGGCCAGTATACCCAGTGGACAGCTACAGACCACGTTGGAGCACCAGCACCCTGCCTCTGCACAGCTGACCCTTTATGTAGGGTGGAGGTTGGTGATTAGTGGTCATAGCCAGTCCTTGCTGCTGACTGGCCTGGGTAAATCCCTCCCACTGATTTCCAACAGCAACCAAGGCTCAACTACAGGAGAAGAGTATACTTAGCCCACATGAAGGGCACACCTCGAGTACCCAAATTGGGTGATTAGGGAGGCTGTGCTACTAGACCCTACAGGACACCTACTACATTAAACCACACTACCAAGACACAGAGTCAAAAACAGACCTACCTAATACATAGAAACAAACACAGGCAGACTGCCAAAACTGGGAGACAAAGAAGCATGGCCAAATGAAAGAGCAGATCAAAACTCCAGAAAAAGAGCTAAATGAAATGGAGATAAGCAATCTATAAGATGCAGAGTTCAAAACACTGGTTATAAGGATGCTCAAGGAACTGAACAGTATAAAAAAGATCCAGGCAGAAACAAAGGATACACTAATTGAAATGAAGAACAATTTACAGGTAAACAAATGTAGTGGATGAAGCCTAGAATAAAATCAGTGATTTAGAACATAAGGAAACAGAAAGACAATAAGAACAACAAAAAGAAAAAAGAATCTACCTGGCTGGTGTGGCTCAGTGGATTGAGTGCCAGCCTGCGAACCAAAAGGTTGCTGGTTTGATTCCCAGTTCAGGGTCCATGCCTGGGTTGCAGGTCTGGTCCCCAGTAGGGGACACATGAGAGACAACCATACATTGATGTTTCTCTCCCTTTCTTTCTTTTTTTTCCCATGCTCCTCTTTAAAAATAAATGAATAAAATCTTTTAAAAAATAAAATTAAAAGTCTCAAGTATTAAAAAAAAGAATCCAAAAAAATGAGGACAGTATAAGCAACCTTTGGGACAACTTCAAGAGGTCCAACATTCCCATCTTAGGGGTTCCAGAAGGAAAACTGAAGGACCAAGAAATTGGAAACCTATTTGAAAAAAATAATGAAAGAAAACTTCCCTAATTTGGTGAAGGAAATAGACATGCAGGTCCAGGAAGCACAGAGAGTCCCAAACAAGATTGATGCAAAGAGACTCACTCCAAGATACATCAGAATTAAAATTTCAAAGGTGAAAAAGAGAAAATCTTAAAAGCAGCAAGAGAAAAGAAATTAGTTACCTACAGGGGAGTTCCCATAAGACTGTCTGATAATTTCTCAAAAGAAAGTTTGTAGGCAAGAAGGTATGGGCAAGATATATTCAAAGTCATGAAAAGCAGGGACCTACAGCCAAGATTGCTCTATCCAGCAAAGCTATCGTTTAGAATCAAAGGACAGATGAAGAGCTTCCCAGACAAGAAAAAAGAAAAAGAGTTCATCATCATCAAGTCATTATTATATGAAATGTTGAAGGGACTTAAGAAAATGAAGATCAAAACTATGAATAATAAATGGCAATAAATACATATCTATCAACAATTGAATCTAAAAAACAAACTAAGCAAACAAGAACAGAGACAGAATCATGGATAGGGCGAACATTTTGATGGTTGCCAGGTGGGAGGAGGATGTGGGGGAATGGGTGAAGAGGTGAGGGAATTAAGAAGTACAAATAGTAGTTACAGAATAGCCATGGGTATGTAAAGTATGGTATAGGAAATGGGGTAGCCAAAGAACTTATATGCAGGACCCATGGCCACGAACAATGGTCGGGGACTGCCTAAGGGAGTGGGGTTGCTGGGTGGAGAGGGGCAAAGGGAGAAGAATCAGGACAACTGTAATAGCATAATGAATAAAATATAATTTTTTTAAAAAGTCAGTTGTTGCCATGATCACTTGACTAGACAGTCCTGCAAACACTATTTGGAATCTTGCATATGTTTTAAGTTGTTGCTGCACTTGTGTGCATCTCCAAAAGCATGTATTTGTATGGCAGGAGTTATGAGACACTTTTTTAACCAGCAAAGCTTAAGCAGCATAGCTCATCAAGTGCATAATGCTTGAAAAATGGATAATTGAAATATTCTAATCAGATATGTTGTTTCTTTGACTTTGAAATGGTTACCTTGGGACAGGGACACAGCAGTTACCAAAGAGTGACTTTTTAATAATCTGTGTTTTTAATAGATCTCTCACTTAGGTTAGTTCAAGATGACCCTGCCCCACTTAGGGTCATTATTAATAGCTCCATCTGCCTTCTTCAAGTAAGAGTCACTTGAGCCTCATGTGAAGAGTATGTATCTTCTGTTCCGATTTTCCTCAGATATTCATTGAACACCTGCTCTATACCAGGCACTTCCTTGAGTGTGGGGGTTACCAAAATGAAGACAGTTCCTGTACTTCGGTCATTTGAGACCTCACTGCCTCACGCCAGTATTTCTGTAAGTCTGAGTTTCCTTACCTGCCAAGGGGGTTTCAGAGACCTCCTCATCAAGGGTGGGGAGGGATGACTGACACTGTGGGCCATGAAAGAAATGGCACCTGGATTTGCCTGGGTCAGTCAGGAAAGATTTGGAGAAGTAAAGAAGAAAGGAAGATTTACAGGCAGATAGTCAGTGACAGAGCATTTCAGGTGAGAGAATGCAAATTCATGTAGCAGTTTTGGTGGATGAAACATATTTATAACAACTTTATTGAGATGTAATTTATGTACAACAAACTGCTGTCATTAAAAATATGAAATATGCCCTGGCTGGTGTGGCAGGTGGACTGAGCGCCCACCTGTGAACCAAGGGGCACTGGTTCAGTTCCCAGTCTGGGCACATGCCTGGGTTGCCCCCTAGTGGGGGGCATGTGAAAGGCAACCAATGGGTATTTCTCTCACATATTGATGTTTCCTTCTCTTTCTCCCTCCCCCTGAATATAAATAAATAAAATCTTTTAAAAAGTCCAACAATATTTTTAAAAATATAAAATAAAATATGCATTATGGCCCTGACTGGCATGGCTCAGTTAGTTGAGCATTGCCCTACAAGGCGACAAAGTAAAGGGTCACCGGTTCGATCCCCAGTCTGGGCACATGCCTGGGCTGCAGCTGGTCCCTAGTTGGGGCGTGTGCAAGAGGCAACCAATTGATTGATGTTTCTCTTGCACATTAATGTTTCTCTCCCTCTCTTTCTCCCTCCCTTACTCTCTCTCTAAAAATAAATTAATAAAATCTTTAAAAAAAAACCCACTATTCATTACCTTTTGGCTTTTTTGGTTAGCAAGATGCACCAGGCAGCCTCAACTGTTCTTAGGTCTCAGCCCATCTGGTACTTAACAGAGTCCCTTGCACTGGACTACCAAGTCCAGGCGTCCTGCCTTCTCCCCATAGGAGGACACATCGTGTGCCAGGAAGGAACCACAGAGGCAAAAAGGAGCCATTGAAGAATTGTGACTGAGCAAGTGATTTATATGTTAGATTTATACATTAGAAAAATCACTCTTGGAACTTAAAAGTGATGAGGATTGACCTAGAGCAGTTGTGGGGGGAGGAGAGGAGGGCAAAGCACTTAGAACCTAGAAAGCAGAATTGACAGGCTGGGATATGCTGGATGGGCATGGGGTGAACGAGAGAAGGGGAGGAACCGGACATCCATAACCTAGCTGTAGCTTATTTGGGCAGGGAGAGTAGATTTGGAAGGACGGTGTTTTGTTTTAGATGTGTTGGGTGGGACAAAGGGAAGAGATGTCCAATAGTTGGGCCTGTGTGTCCAGAGGTCTGGGCTGAACATTTGAGGATCATCAGTGTTTGGATGACATTTCACTTAAGAAAATTTGTTCAGCCCTGGCTGATGTGGCTCAGTGGATTGAGCACTGGCCTGTAGACCGAAAGGTGGCAAGTTCGGTTCCCAGTCAGGGCACATGCCTAGGTTGTGGGCCGGATTCCCAGGGTTGGGGGTATGTGCAAGAGGCAACTGATTGATATTTTTCTTGTACATCTTGTTTCTCTTCCTCTCTTCCTCCTTCCTTTCCCCTTTCTCTAAAAATAAATAAATAAAATACGTAAAAAAAGAAAATGTGTTCAGAACTTTCCAGCATGCAAGCAGCAGTGCTAGGAAGGCGGTCTCTGACCTTAGACCAGCCTAGGTCCTCTTGACTTGGGCTCCTCACCCCCAACCTGTACTAGATTCTTTTTTACTCAAAATATTCACCACACATGGAAGTTATTTAGTAATTATTTCTCTCTCCCACAAAGCTGTACACTTTGTGGGACTGGAAGCAAGCTTCATTCACCAGAGCAGGGCATCTGGTAGAGACTTCTTCACTTGTCAGTGGAATGCCGCCCTGACCACTCACAACTGGGAACCCTTCTAGGGAAAGGGAGTGTGAGGCACAGGAACGCTACTGTGCAGTGCCCAGAGCCCCAACGTCAGAGCCCCCACGGCATGTGTGGGGATCCAGCGGAGAAAGTAATAGAAGGTTTTGCAGAGTTGATGTGAGCCAGGCCTTGAAGGGTAAGGACAAATTCTCAAATCAGACAGGGAGGGGAGGGCCTTCTAGGCCTGGGGGTACAACATATGATCAGAATAAAGGCAGGACTTTAGAAGGATGAGGACTGGCAGGGAGTGAGAACGAGGAGTAACTGGGGACAGCGGAGGCATACACTCCTGTAAGAAGTTGGGACTTTATTGTTTATGATACAGAAAGCTAGCGGGGGGTTTTAAGCAGGATAGCAATATGACCTGATTACATTTTTAGATTTTAGAATCTCCTGGGAAAGAGTAGGGAGTGTGGGAACTACCCCCCCGCCCACACACACACACCCCAGTGCAAAATGCCTTTTTAGCAGGCATGCAGGTGACTCTTATGCAGGCCCGCCAAAGACCCATCTGGGGAAACGGTGTGAATGAGGAGCTGGAGTAAGTTAAGGCTATTGGTAAAGGAAGCACCTTGGGAGGCAGAGACAGTGAGAGCTGGGAAGGGCCATCCCAGCTGGGCGACTAAAGGAGTCTTTAGAGCCTTCTTCTGTGGGATCTGAAATTCAGGGTCTCAAAGATCCCAGAGCAACAGAGATGATAACCCACATGCAGCCTGGCCGTCCCACCCTGTGCCTGAGCTGCCGGCTGGATGTGGGCAGGAAGCTTTGGGGACACAGTCACGCCAACGTGCGGTCAGCAGAGTCCTGCCTTCCTTAGAGACTGGATCTGGCCACAGCCCCCGGGAGGTGTTGGCAGGAGCTCATTGGGCACATTAGGGGCCTTCTTTTACAAGTCAACTCTGATGACCTGGAGGATGACTTCAGAGCCGCGTTCTGGCCGGCAATGGTAAACACATCGGCCCTGAACTGACGGGAAAGGTGCAAGGATGTCACCTGAGTGGAAAGTCTGTACAGACAAATGTGAACAGACTCTGTGGACTCTTAAGGATAATATTTTCTGTGGACATATATAGACAGATAAGCAAAACCCCAAGGGAGGAAAAACTTCTATTAAAATAAAACTAAACATCCCCCACAGCTTTATCCTCCTTTGCTCACTGGGGTTTCTTTATTTCACTTAGAGATGAAAGTAGTTCAGTGTCTCAAGAGATGCTGATTAAAGTTAAACAGAGAATTTCCCTTTCTCCCTTCCTTCCTTCCTTCCTTCCTTCCTTCCTTCCTTTTTTCTTTTCATTTCCTTCCTTCCGCCCTATCTACATCTCTGTCTCTGTCCTGAATATTCCAGCCATAAGCATAGATCTTTGTGTATGCCTGCAGTTAATGGTACTTTGAATAACTACTGACGCTGTGCACTCGGGGCCCTTTGAGGAAGAAGCCCTCCTCATTGGCCGGTGAGGATGCTGTGCATGCAGCCTCCACTCTAATGCTCAGTAGGACTGTCTGGGGTCCCAGTCACCTTCTCCACCCCAGCACGCTGCGACCCTCGTCCCTGGAGTGGCAGTTGGCACCTGTCCGTGCTCTGTGTCGGGGTCTGGAGCTGACAGTTGTGGGAGCGTACGAAGGTGCCTGGTGGTTTCTCGGGAGAAACACAGTGAGTGGAGTGTGTGTAATCAGTTTCCACGGGCCGCCAGAGCTGAGTGATGGGGCTGCCGTCCCAGTGGCAGTGTTTCTGGAGAACTGTCTGTGCTTGGGCCCCGGGGCATCATGACAGAGTGGTGTGCGGGTTGGGCATGAATTTTCTCCTTTGCAGGATCTGGGGTGGAAAAGGTCCTGTCCTGAAGCAGCAGCTCGGGAGCCCTTCCCTTGCTGTGAGGGCCGCCGGCATGGGTGCCTGTGCTCATGCTGAGAGGCTTGTGGCAAATTGTATGTGGTGCCTTGACACAGCCCAACTTGTTTCTGTTCATATTGAACTGGCTTCGAACAGGAGAAGGAAACCTTAAATATTTCCTTTTATTCTCACAGACCCTTTCTCTAATAAAACAGAATTCCTGGAGATGAAGCAGAAAATAATTCAGATGCAGGGGAGGGCAAAAGTAGATGTACACTTTTAATACAGATGAATAACACAATAATTAATCAGTTATAATGCAAGAATAAACGTGCATACTCACGACGTAAAGCTACTTTTGCCCACCCCCATAGTCATCTAGGTCAAGGACCTGCCTTGGCTTGACCCTCCTTACAAACTTTCCAGTCTGTGCTATGCTGATAAAGTCCAGGCAGACTAAGCTGACCCACAAAAGGCAGGCGACAGTCCCAGGGACTGGGGTGGGGTGGGGGCAGTGCAAGCTGTTGGGTGCTTGTTTGGCCTCTCACTCGGTATTTTTGTACCACTGAAATCTGGTTGGAACTGGTGAGAGGGGCTGGGGAGAGACCCAGAGGCCAGCAGTTCAGGCATGGAGTGGGAGCGGCCGTCACCCTCCGGGGAAGTGAAGGAGCTTAGTGCTGTGTTTATACAGACCTCAGTTTTGCCTCCTTATCCACCACCGGCTGGTTCCCCCTGCACAGAGAACTCTGTGAAACAGCAACCCCCACTTGTCTTTTATTTTCCTCCTAATGAACACACATGGGACGCATGCCCGTGGGCACATCTGGGCCACAGGCTACAGCACAGGCACATCAGGCTGTGGTTGGCAGCAGGTCCCAGGGAAGCCCCACTGCCTTCTGTCCCATTCAGGAAACCTCCCTCCACAAGTAGTGTGAGACGTTACTCTGTGTCCCCGGCCCTGGGCATGGGATTCCAGCCTGTAATATATGCCAAATAGATATTTACTGAGTGAAAGACAGCCTTGAGTCCACATTAATTTGTGCTTTTAAAAAGTCACTCATAAACTCTAGCATTGTAACTGTTAGTTAGCTGTCAATTCCAATAAACCAGGATTTTGTGATTGTGAATGAGGGTTGTATGGGTCGGTCAAAAGGAATATTTGTTCACATTTTTATAGGCTCTTAAAGGGGTTTTAGCACTATGATTGATACAGCCAGGCACAAGCTTTATCAGCCCTGCCACTTGGCCGT